AGTGGGGACTGAAGCTCAGAGAGGACAAGTCACCTGCTCCAGCACACACAGCTAGTAAGTGGCAGAGTTAGGACTCTGTCTCGGACAGACAGACCCTGGCCAGGGCGGCCTGAGGTGCTGCAGCCCCAGCCTCAGAAGCTCAGAAACTTGGGAGTGTGGGGTCCCACCAGGGCACGGAGGGCTCGTAGCTCTCACGAACAAAATAGTTGATTCGCTGCTTCTTTGTTTAAAGTTGTACTGTGCCTCTCTCTTTAGCTCTGCTCAGGCTCTGGGAGCCCCAGCTGCCACGCGTGCTTGGGTGGACCTCAGAAGCCTCCTTGTCCAGTTACTTCAAACTGAGCGATGTGACTTTGTGACTTTGGTGTTAGGGTCCCGGGGGCAGTGTTCTGTCAGATCTGGGACTGATCCCAGGGCCACCTCTATAAGCCGGGAATGAGGAGACCACAGTGGGACCCCGAGCCACAGAGCCCTCCATGTCTGCAGGTTCAGACCAGCAAAGGGGTGCCGCACTCCCATCTGGCTCCCCAGGAGCCCCAGCTCTGGCCCTTGAGGCTGAGCAACCTGAGGGATTGCATGGATGCTGGCCCTTCTTCCCTGGCAGAACCAGGCCCCAGAGGAGTCTGGGGAAGGTAGTCGGGGCTCCTCAGCTCCCATGTTCAGGCAGCACCTCAGGTGCCCTCTGGGGTGATCTCCTGGAGGCCCATGAGTATGGCCAGGGGCGGCGCTTCCTCCCTAGAGCGGCTGGCAAGGATGCAGTGTGAGGTGCAAGTCCTTTCGGGACCTGCATCTGGTGTGACGCAGGCAGCGCCCCATGAGTTTGCTGAATCCCGGAGCAGGATACAGCAACCCCTCCACTGTGGCCTCTCCTTTACCGTGGTTCCCCCACCCTGCTGCTGTACCCCCTTGCCTGGTGCTCCTACGTCTGCACCGCATGTCTTCACTGCATGTGAAGAAGAGCCTTGTGTGGCCCTGCTAGGTGAAGGCCTGGAGGAGGCAGGGTGCAGGCGGAACCGTGGCTCTTGCTTGGAGCCTCAGCTTCCTCCTCTCTAAAATGGGCTTGCCAGCCAGATTCCACGAGCTCCTCCTTGAGAGTCAGTTCAGAGCTCTGTTCAGCGGCGTGGCCAGTGATGGGGAGCGACACCCTCAGACACTGCTGTTCTGGTTCCTGAGGATTCCGGAGCTTTCTGTGTTGTCCACGCCTTGCTGCCTTGAGGGCTACTGTTGGCCAGCCCAAGTGGAGAGGGAGGGTCTTGTTTATTTATTTATTCATTCACTTATTCATTCTGGGTTAGCTGTTTCCTGGAATTCTAGATGCTTCCTTTTTTTTGTTTCTGAGATGGTCTTGCTATGTAGTTCAGACTGCACTTCAATTCACTGTGGAGCCCAGGCGGCCTCAAACTTGTGACCATCCTCCTGCCTCAGCCTCCCCAGTGCTGGGAGTGTAGGCGTGTGCCACTGTGCCTGGCTTAGTTTGGGTCGTGGCTGCTGTTTGTCTCACATGCAAACTGAGGAGATCAGCCTCCTAGGGCCTGGACAGCAGTAAACAGACGGCCCTTTCCACCCTTTGCTAGCTCTTGGCACATTCTAGCAGCCCCCTGGTCAGGGTACCCTCCCCTCATTGCTGCTCCCAGAGGGAGCTGTTCTCACCAGATGCTAAGATGGGAATTTATGGTCATGGGGTTGGACAGTCCGCCCGGGATGCAGTGAGGTACCAGGCACTGTGTACTGTCTTGGGGTGCCTCTGTTTCTTCATTCCCCAGCCTCCAGGCAGGGTGCTGAGCGCCCATTTGAAGATGTAAGAGCTCCTGCGAGAGCCAGCCATCCTGCTGGACTTGGGGTTTGGGCTCCAGGAGGTTTCAGTCCAAGTCCAAGCTGGCTGTGTCTCTCCGAGCGCCATTTTCCTGTGTATGAAATAGGCAGCAGATGGCTTCTGGGGCACTGGGTGGCTGGGGAGTTGTGAGCTGGGCTTGGTGGTGGCTCGTGCAGTTGGTTTATCCACCCTGGAGACATTGAGCGTGGGCTTCGGGCTGGACACAGAGAGAGGAGTCAGAGTGCTGGTCTCCCAGGGTGACAGCACTGGGCCTGGCAGCCTTGACACGGGTCACTCTGGTTGTTCCTTCCAGCTCTGCCGTGTACCCTTCCCACTTAAATGCAGGTGCTTTTCTGAAATTTGCATGCCTTCCTGTAAGGACAAAACAAAGTACATTGTTTTCTTTCAAAAGCAGTAATAAAAATTTATAATTAGGTATATCTGGAAGAGGATAAAGAAGCAAATTAGTGTCACCTAAGGACTGTCATTAACCTTTTGTGCCCCCAGAGGACAGGGCCTGGCACAGAGCTGGGGCTCTGGGAATAGTTGTGACTTAGTAAAAAGAATGCACAAATGTGTGATGAAAAAATCGAGCTCATGAGTGATGTCTGGCCTTGCATGTCACCCTTCTCTTGATGTTCACCTGTCCCCCTGTGGTGTTTGTCATGAGGGCGCTGACATAATTAACATCATCTATCCCTTGGGCTGAGCCTTGTGCCATCGGGACAAACACCAGGTTGGTGTCAGAGACTGCGCCGTGTCCCTGATCAGTGCCTGGAAGTGGCCACGGATGGGAACAGGAAGGGACAAACTGCACCTTGCGTGATGCACGCCTGTAATTCCAGCACTCAGGAGGTTGAGGCAGGAAGATCGCTGTGAGTTTGAGGCCAGCCTGGACTCACAGTGAGTTCAAGTCCAGCCTAAACTACATAGTGAGGCTCTGTCTCAAAAACAAACAAACAAACAGACAAAAAAACAAAACAAAACAAAAATAACAATCAGGAGGTGGGGGGCCGAACTTGCACCTTCAGAGTAGAGTACTTCCTGCTCAGGTCGGAGAGGGGAGCCAGTTTCCGAGAACTACTGCAGATAGAAAACAGCCCGGGGAGAGGAGCCGGGACTGAATTATGCATGAAGCTGTAAGAAAGCAGATCAGAGCAAAGGGATCCCGTGTTTAGCCGAGGACAGGCTGTGCCTTCCTGCAATCCATCAGTGGTGATGCCGTGACCCTGGCTAATCCTTCCTAGGGTGGTGGAAGCTCTGCACTCTGCTCAAGAGGAGTGTGACTGACTAGATGTGGGGTACACACCTGTAATCCCAGCTACTCAGGAAGCTGAGGCAGGAGGATCAAAATTTCCAGGCAGAGTTGAGCAACTTAGGCAAGGTCTCAAAAAATTAAAGGTTGGGGATGCAGCTCGGGGATGGAACGCCTGCCCCACCTGCAGGAGGCCCTCAGTTCCCTATGCAGTACCACAGGGCCCTTGAATGGAGGGTTGTGCTGACTGCCCCTCACGGACACCCCGCATCCTCCTGCCAGCACGTGTGCTGCACTTCCTGTCTGCCTGCAGGCTGAGGCCCCACAGCTCCAAGGAAGCAGCAGCCCGGGAGTCGTGCCCGTCGGAGTCTCAGGAGCAGCCTCTGCAGCCTCCTCCTCTTTATTTATCTGTGAGCTTCATGTTTGTGGTGCTCCGTGCCAGCTTCTCCCTGCTGCTGCAAGGCTGCTGTCTCTCATTCTCATTGCATTTCTTCCCCAGGCCATCAAGGACTGGTGCCACCCTTGCCGAGCTGTGTGGCTCTAGGCAGCATACTCGATTGGCTCTGAACTTGTGAGGTCCCATTTGCAAGGGTCTCATGTCTAAATGAGCTCTTTGGCCATGTCCTAGGTAACAGGGTCGTGCTGGAGGAGTTAGCATGGAGGGCATCCTCATGACTGTCCCCTTGGCCCTCAGTTATCCCTCGCTCAGGTGTCTGGGTGCTGCTTACGTGTTGGACGCAGTGTTAGGCCCAAAGACACTGGATCCAGGTGGACCCAGGTCTCGAGTGCTTAGAGCTTAGACCCTAAAGTAGAGGAAGCAGGCAGGAAGTCAGTGAGCTGCAGCCTCACGGGAAACAGCAGTGAGGCCCGGTGTGGGGGAGGGGGGAGGAAGAGGAGAGGAGAATGAGGGAGAAGGGTTGAGGGAAGGGGAGGAAGGGGAGCAGCTGTGGTTCTGTGGGGCCTGGAGGTGAGGTCCAGCCCTCACTGTCCACTTTGGGCTGTGGACATTGGTCAGGTTCCTAGCTTCCTTCTTTTGAGCTGTGTGATGTGGCTGGCACTCAGCCTGTGTGGGCCTCAGTTTCCTTATATGTCACCTTGGTGACCTCATCTACCTTGTAGGGGAAAATCACTTGCCTTACGAGATCTAAACCTATGCTTCTCGCAGAGTGGCCTTCACGATAGGGCAGAATCACGAGAGATGCTCATGGAGGCCGAGAATGGCTATGAGCAAACGTTATTAGCTGGTGAACGGTGGTCAGCAGTCACCTAAGGCACTGGCCCTAAGGCTTGGTTCTCCATGATTTTTATACATTTACAAAAAAAAAAAAAAAATCCCTTGTAACCATAGCAACCTCTGTCTTTACTTAGAATTTTGCAGGAGTACCATAAGGTCTTTCTTAAACAAATGGGTCGTTAAGCAGGATGGGGGCAGCGGTCAGCATGTCTGTTGTTTGATGTAAATGTTTTCCCCTCCCTTCATGGCTAACTGGGAGAGGGTTTTGAGGATTGAGTTCATTCAAAGGTTAACAACAAACTAAAAAACAAAGTCCTAAAACAAAGATGGAGTCACTTCTGCTTTGTCACTCAGACCCTGCTCCAGAACTGCGGGGAGCGCAGGGTGGGACCCAGATTCCCTGTACCCCTGCCTCCTGCTTCACACCTCAGGTGAGGCCTGGAAGCTGCCTTCTGGAACAGGAGTCAAGCGTTTCCTGCAGTTTGTGGAGCCGGGATTATCTCATCCTTAGGGACACGAGGGCACAGTGAAAAGCACCTAACAGCCTCTGGGCGATGGTGATGTAGCCTAGGGGCATCGCCAGATCTCTGACCTGGGAAGAAGGGTGTCCTCTGGAGGCGCCAATGCTGGCTCTGGGGTGTCCCAGGACAGAAGGATACCAGCGCGTCCCTCTCTGCTAACTCGGTTTCCCTCGCCCCCAGGATCCCAAGTGATGGTGGTGTACGTGGAGGACAGGCTGAACCCTGCACAGCTGCTTAGCACGGCAGAGCTGCTGGCCGCACCTGCCGGAGGGCGGGCGTGAACCTCAGGACCTGGACGTCTAACCCCAGAGGAAACATGTCTAAGAAAGGACGGAGCAAGGGCGAGAAGCCCGAAATGGAGACAGACCCGGTGCAGATGGCCAACGAGGAGCTGCGGGCCAAGCTGACCAACATTCAGATTGAGTTCCAGCAGGAGAAGAGCAAGGTGGGTTGCATGGCCCCGTCTCTCTCCGTGAAGGCTTGGCTGTGGTCGCAGGGGGATGGTTGTGTCCTGGGTACGTGTGGAGGGTGTGCTCCCGTCTGGGGTGTACTGGGCAGCCCTTTTCTAGTGGTCCACAGAAGTGGACTGCACCTGGGTCAGGTTGCAGAAGTGTAAGACGGGAGTCGTAGGCATCCCCTGCCAGGCTCTGGATAGGGCGTGGCACTGTGGAGAGGACCTAGGACAGGCCTGCTCTGTCCCATGAGCTGTTTGCCCCTGAGAGGCCAGGTGTGAGCTCCAGAGCCAGGGAGGGCAGTGCTGCCCAGCTGGTGGCCTGCTACTGGAGTACAGTTAAGGCACAGGCTGTGTGATGTATATTCTATTCCCGGAGAGAAGCCCAGACCTGATCCTGCAGACCTGGTGCATACCTCAGTGGACACAGTGAAAAGCTCGTTGGCATCTGGTGTCCTTGGCTGCCACTGTCCTCTTCGTTGGTGTGGCTCTGCCTCAGGTGGGACTGAGAGTAGCACTAGCCTGAGATCTGTCACCACAGAAAGAGGTGGGACTTGGGCCTGCGCCTGGGTGGTGTGAGTAATAGAGGCCCCGGCCCAGCTGGGGAGGGACACTTGGGCCTCTGAAGTGCCCTTGGGCCCTGCCATGGCACCAGAGCCTCAGGGAGCCCTGTCCTGTTGAGTGCTGGGACTGAAGCCCAGCTGAGTGTCTGAGTGGGGTCCTGGCAGATGAGGGGCCTAGGCCTTGGCCTTGGCTCTGGCCCCAGGTCAGGACACCTGCTGAAAGGGCAGAGGCTGTGTGTGACCCTAGGCTGCGCCAGGAGGCCGCTTCTGGAGCTCAGGGCAGAGTGCACCTACCACTTGGCGCTTGTGATTCCCGCTTGGGCAGCCGCCTCTTCCAGCTGAGGCTGCCAGTGATGGCACAGTCCACAGCCTTCCTGGTTAGGAGGCTGCACCTGCCAGCGTCCTCAGGGCAGAGGCTGAGTGTCTCGGAGGTCTGACCCGGAAGTAGCAACAGCAGTGGTTATGGGGGAGGCCGCGTGCCGGTGTCATGTCAGGCCCTGTGCCACCCCACCGCCTACCCTCAGAGCCACAAGTGACCCATGGCCCAGTTTCCCCATCTGTTACGTGTCTGCCCCCTGGGTCCTTGAGGAATGAGTAAGACAGACACCCAGGGCCTGGGAGTTGTGGTTCAGCACACACAGTGGCCAGCACAGGGCTGGTGGTGTTGCTGGGTAGACACAGGCCCGTGGGAGGCACCATCCTCGGGCCACTTTTCTGCCCTGGACGCATGGCAGTTTCCACATGTGGGTGTGCTGGACAGCCACTCTGTCCATCCGGTGCCTCCATGCCTGCTCCATGGGGCTTTACCTGTCTGGCCACCAGGAGAATTTCTGTGTTCCAAGCCTTTAGCACTGTGCTTGCATTCTGGTCTGAAAAACATAAATATAAACTTTACGGCTGCACTTAAATGTTATCTTTACTTTGGTTTCGTACTGTCAGTGTCAGGTTTACAGTGCTGTTATTTTAGCAAAAGATCCTGGTTACATTGTAGGGTGAGGACATGTAGACGTATTCAGTGACTGACTTATCCATCTGTCCAGCAAGCCCCCTGCGTGCATGCTGCAGGCTGTGGTGTGTGTTTGGAGTGACTCAGAATCAGCCTGTACCACAGGCAGGGCGAGGCAGAGACCACGTCCCACAGTACCTGGCACTCTGCATCCCGGCTTACGGCAGATGTGTGGAAAAAGCCACGGAGCAAACCCTGTTTGCTGGCTGGAATGGGGTGGGGGCATTCACACTGCCCCATGTGCCCAGCGGTGCCCAGCCCAGCCATGGGCATCCTGTGTGTCAGTCAGTGGTGGGCAGAGCTCCCAGCCTGGAGAGACCCACAGGCCAGTGGGTGGCTGCCTGCTGGACCCAGGCTGCCCAGGTTTCAGCTACTACCCACCACCAACCACTGAGTCATTGCTTCCTGCTGTGACCAGCCACACTGACCACTGACCTGGGGCTGCAGAAAGGTGTGGGCCTTGTCCTGTCTTCAGGGCAGCTGGCATCAGTGCATGGGGCAGGAGGGTGGGCATTTGGGTGCCATCTGAGTGGAGCCCCAAGAGGTAGCACAGACCTATTTGGGACTAAGAGAGGTTTCCCCCTCCCCACACTGAAGTTGGAGGGAGGGAGGGGCAGGAGTGCCTCGGCAGGGGATGGGCCCCTTGCAGCTGGACCTGATCATGATGGTGGGCACTGTCCAGCCCAACCTCACTGTCCCTGTGCCCTTGGTGCCCCGTGTTTACAGCTCTGTCGGGCCGGCCATCCCTCTGTGCTTCCCGAAGCTCGGTCTACACCAGTTCCTGAGCGTCTGCCATGTGCCTGCTTTAGTCCAGAAGCCCAGTGCTCCTTCTGGAGCACATGTGTGTGTGAGGTGAATGTCGAGATTCACACACATTCAATCAATCCTGAACACATGTGGGGAAATGGAAGTGAGAGAAGGGCATGGAAGTGCCCTGTGGAAAGTCCAGGGCTGGGGCAGGTGCTCCTGGGTGGGGTGGCTGAGCTGGGTGGGCACAGGGGTCAGGGCATCCAGAGGTACCTGGTGTTAAGAGCGGGGCAGTCAGGGCCTGGCTAGAACATCAATCAGAGAGCCATGAAGGTCAGTCCTATGGCCAGGGGAGGACTGGGGAGGACTGGGGCCTGTCCTCAGTACTGAGAGGCTCTTGTTTTTTTGTTTTTTTCTTATGTTTTGGTGTGTATTCAATTCTATTTTATGTCATTGTAGACTCACAGCACTTCATTCTGACACTTCTTGGTTAATTTTCTCTCACTGCTGTGACAAAACATTCAACACCTAACATGAAGGAAGGAAAGATTTATTTAGCTCACTGTTTGTGGAGGCTTCAGTCCATAATCAGCTGGCTCCAAGGCAGGGTGGCGTGGCACAGGGGCAACAGTTCAAGGCAGTAGAAGCCAGCAACAGCAGCCAGGGCAAATGGTGGGAGAACAAGCCTCTTTTCCTCCCTTAGATTGTGCACAGGCCACCTCGGCCCCCCAGGGCAGATGTAGCACTCACCCCACCTCTGTGCCCTCCTCTTGCACAGGCTGGGGTTATTAACAAAGTAAGGACCCTGGCTCCCTGCTAGGGCTCTTCGTTAAACTTCTAGACTCAAATTTTCACAGTGTGTCAGCTGTAACTCTTGGGCTGTTGGGGCTTCAGCTACACAGAGCTGATCCATTGGCACTGGTGTTCCTGTGACTCCATCACTGCAGAGGTTTTGCTGTGTTTTTATTTTTTATTTGCTTTTCCATGGTATTCATCTTCTGTATGCCCTGCCCCAGTTTTGGGCCCAGTGTTTCTCAGAGAAGTTGGTTCTTCTTATGGGAGAATGGTGTTTAGAAACCAAGGTGGGGATGCTGGCGTGCTCAGTGCTGACGGGGTATAGTGCTTCTCAGCCTTTCCGTGATGAGGGGGCCAGGAGCATGTGCAACTACCTGTGTGCTGACACATATCTGTGCATGGCTGTCTGTGTGATACCTGTGTCTGTGTGACATTACACGTGACGTCCCCCTGAGGTCCCCTACACTAATGCATGGCGGCTGAGTCATTCTGGCCCTTCACCTCGGAGCCTCCGCGGCAGCAGTGAGGGGCCAGAATCCCCACCCTCCCGACATCCTTCCCTCCTTCCCTCTGCTTTCCCAGTTGTTCAGCTGTGTATAGTGTTTCCTGAAGAGCTGTGCTGTACCCCATGGGACTCAGGGGACTTGGGGTGATGGAGGTGTGTGACACATCCCTGCCCCACACACCTGCGTTACCCAGCTCGTCCGCTGACACCCTATGCCCTGCCCTGGAGGCCTGTTCCGCCCTCTGCCCTGCCCCAGACCCATTCTGGGCTGCCTGGAACACCCCGTGCTCACCTGTCCACCCCTTACTCTCCACCATCCTGTGACTCGAGCCTGGGCGTGCTCACCCCTGGCATACATACTCCGGACCACACAACAGACCTCTGGGTGTCACTCTGTAACCTTCCCCTTCCCTGCTGGCAGATCTGAGGTGTGAAGGACAAGCCAGCAGGATGGGCTCCTCTTGCAGTCTGAGCTCAGTCTGGTGCAGAATGCGGGTGCTTCAGGGTCTTCTCCTGAGAGCCTCAGCTGACCACAGCAGGCCCACTCACTCCGGTACTCAGTCCACTAATATGAATGCTAACTTCACCTAAGCTCCCACGTATCCACGCAGCAGCACTCAGTGTTGTAACTGACCAGATGCTTGGCAGCTTGGCCTGACCAGGCTGACGTGGAAAGTGAACCATCTCAGCGTTTCAGTGATTGATTTGCCAGGGAATGCGGCTCTGTGATCCAGTGGGCCCGTTCCTTCTGACCTCTGTCACTGTCCACACTGAGCAGAGAGGTTAGGACCACATGGCCTCTTTGAGAGGTGTGTTGTCCCTGACTCGGGAATCATGTAAACACCTAAGCGTCCTGGCTTCCTGACACTAAACCTACCAGGAGAAGACCATTTCAGCTCTGAGTGAGGTGGGCTGGGGTGGCTGTTCGCCTTGCTTGATCTAAGGAGATGCTGACCTGTCTCATGTGCTTGCTTCGCGGCTTTGCTGCTTTTCCTGCTGTTCTGAGGGAGGATTCACCCATGCCTAGGTGTTGTACAACTCCCCTAAGGTGAATGGTCCCGCAGTCAGCAGATGTGGTGTGGTCTGGGATCGGTGTCCTTCTCCGCTGAAGTAGATGGTCGTCTGGAGGTTGCTGGCTGCAGTTCTGTGAGGCCTGTTGTCGCATGGAGCAGACATGGGCTGTGAAGGGCCCTGAGGGACTTGAGTACTGTGTGGCATTTGAAGTGAAAAACTCCGGGGAAGTGTTTCAGGATATTTTAAGGAAGCATCCCATGGCATGTTTACAAACAACACTAAATTGTTTGCTGATGAGATGTACAGACTCAGGCTGTCTGGTGGCCTGACACTTGCAGAGCATCGGCCCTGGAGCCACGGGCCTCAGTGCAGGGCTTGGTGGGGGAAGTCTCCCTTCCTCCCTCCTGGCCACCTGCACCTGCCCTGTGTTCTCCCAGGCTGCAGCCACACGTACAGGGCGCTGGAAATGCACTTCTAGTTCAGAACCTGCCCGGTGTTGGTAAGAGAGGGTTTCTGCAGTGTGTTTTGTGATTGGCACACAGTCCTTTCTTGTTCCTTTGGAACTGAGTGGCATACAGGGCTGGACTCCCCAATATTCTTAGGGTGTTGCCGCCTCCAGGGAAAGTCTTTAGGAGGGAGGGGGCCAGGGCACTAAGGAGCACTCAGGACTGTCAGGGTGACTCGGGAGAGCGTGAGTGTGGGGTCTGGGGCCTCAGGGCACAGAGAAGCGCAGGACCTGGTGCCCCTCCCGGCCCACAGCTGACCCTGACCGCCTTGCACTCCTGTTGCAGGTGGGCAAGCTGCGTGAGCGGCTGCAGGAGGCCAAGCTGGAGCGCGAGCAGGAGCAGCGGCGGCACACGGCTTACATCTCGGAGCTCAAGGCCAAACTGCACGAGGAGAAAACCAAGGAGCTGCAGGCGCTGCGTGAGGCTCTCATCCGGCAGCACGAGCAGGAGGCGGCGCGCACCGCCAAGATCAGGGAGGGTGAGCTGCAGCGGCTGCAGGCCACGCTGAACGTGCTACGGGATGGCGCGGCCGACAAAGTCAAGCCTGCGCTGCTGGCTGAGGCACGAGAGGAGGCGCGCAGGACCTTTGAGGGCGAGCGCCTGCGCCTGCAGCAGGACATCCTGGAGCTCAAGGCAGCGCGCAAGCAGGCCGAGGAGGCGCTCAGCAACTGCATGCAGGCCGACAAGGCCAAGGCCGCTGACCTGCGCGCTGCCTACCAGGCTCACCAGGATGAGGTGCATCGCATCAAGCGCGAGTGTGAGCGTGACATCCGCAGGCTGGTACGTGCCCCCGACCCCCTCACCCACACCTCCTGACACTACCCGTGTTGCACAGATCTTTCCCTTCCGGCTCTTGCCAAAGTGCACACGCTCAGTTGGTGCAAGATTCTGTGGTCCCAAAATGCTCCCGGTGCTGTTCCAGGCCCTGGGGTTCCAGCGAAGTCCTCCCCACCAGAGCACGGTAAGGAGGTGTTGAGGTGGCCACAGGTCTCCCCTCACCTGGTGTGTGGACACAGGTGGCTCAGAGTAGTGATCTCTTCTGCAAAGTGAGGCTGATGAGTAACTGGGCAGGGCTGTGTTAAGACAGGGCTGCACGACAGGATTGGTGTGCTAGGTGCGTCTTCATTCATTGGCTTAATCTAGGAGCAGACTCCTGCCTGCAGATAAGACCTGGTAAGTAGGTCACCAGGGTGGCCAACCGTGCTGCTGCGACATGCAGGGAGACATCACTGGCAAACGCTTTCAGAGATGCTGAGGAGCTGGGAAGCTGTGAGGGCTGGATGCACCAAAACTCGCCAGGGCAAGGGAAGGAGCTCCTTCTGGGGGCCATGCCCAGTCCCATCCACACTCCTGGGACATTCTGGGTCTGGGTGGAGTGGAGCATGGAGCTCCCCAGGCTGGTCCTCCACTGCATGTTGAGAAAGAAGTAGGACTTTTTGCTATCTCTGAAGGGTGACATGAAAGAACTCGCTCCATGGAACGTTCTCTGAGTTCTGGGCTGATGCGAGAGGCCTGTGTGCCCCTTCAGGGAGGCCGGAGTGCCATTATCCACAGTCTCACTGGGTGTAGGAAGCACTGTTCCATTGAGGATGGAGGCCTGCGGCAGGCACAGGGCCGACCCAGCCTGGTGTAGGAGGCTGAGATTCATGGGGTGGAAGAAGCAGTGATGTTTACTAGAGAGATTTGTTTACTTATTTATTTGTGCTGGGTATTAAACCTAGGGCCTCGTGTGCCTGGGCAGGCACCAAGGCACCATTTTGTATTTTGAGACCAAAATACAAAATACAAAATACTACTCTGTTGCCTAGGATGGTCTTGAACTTCTAGTCTTCCTGCCTCGGCCTTCCAAGTAGCTGGCATGAATAGCATGACCATGCCCCTGTGACATGAGCTGTATCTTGGTGAAGACAGGGCTAGACAGAGCATCAATGGACAAGAAAAGATACCTTATACAAACATTAACCAGAAGTGAAGCTGGTCTGGCTATATCAAAGACTTAGAACAAAAAATAGTCCTAAAGATTAATAGGGACAATTTTTAATAATAGTGTCACTAGGAATGTATCTAGTAACAAAACAATATACAAGAAAAACTCAAAACTAAAAGGGTCGACAGATAGATCTACAGTTATACTTGAAGATAAAGAACACAGAGATAGAAAATAATGGTCTGAAAGATCTGAATGTGATTAACCAAGTCAGACTAAACTGTGCTCCAGCCAGCAGTAGGACACTGTCCTTCTCGATGGGACAGACACACTTTTTATTAAACCAGCTGCATTTCAAAAGTTGTGAGCTGTCAGTCAGCCCACAGAGCACAAATATATTTTAGACAAAAGAAGAAATGCTGGGAATCAAATGTCTGAGCTTCCATCTAAAGAAGAAAAAGAATAGCCAGTTAAACTCCCAGAAGACAAAAGGAAGGAAATCATAAAGTTTCGGAAATCATAGAAATAAAATTAATACAGAAAATCAACAAATTAAAAAATTAATTAAATTGTTAAGTTGACGTAGTCCTGCAATACTGACAAACATAAAACCCAACTGATTCACCAAAGTAATGTAAAAAGGGAAGTAACACAACTCCCATAGATGTGCAAAATATTTTAGCAGCATGCGAAGGTAAACTTCAAGTGAAACTTAGATAAAATGGATGTATTCCTTGAATAAGCACAACCTAATTGAAACTGACACAAGAAGATAGAGAAAACCTAAGCAATCCTGTGACTGTTAAAGAATTAAGTCTGCAGTTAATCTTTTTTCCATACAAAAGCCCAGACTTAGATGACTTCACAAGCAAATTCTTCTGAGTATATAAGGAATAAAACTAATTCCAATCATCAGTGGAAACATATTTGAGCTTATTTATAAAGCCAGCACGGCTTTGATACCAAAACCAGTGATATTATTGAAGAAGAAAATTTGGTGGTTCTCACCTATAAAAATAGAAGAATAGTAATAAGGTGTTAACAGATCAAATCTAGCAATGTGTAGAAAGGCTAGTCATTATCAAGTTGAATATACTCAAGAAATGCAAAGATTGATTTAATATTCTAAAATCAGTGAATATAATTCAATGTAGTAATACAATAAAGGAGAAAAAACTAATATGATCATTTTCACAGATGCAGAAGAAGCATTTGATGAAATGCAGCTTCATGATGTAAACTCCCAACAAATCAGGAATGTAAAGGAATTTCGCTAATCTGAATGTATTGTTCTGTCAAAAAGCAAACGTACATAAAGATGAAATGTTTAACGTTTTACACTTAGGTTCAGGGCCCAGCTATAATGGCCATTATTACTCCTCCTGTTCAATATTTCACAGGCTAGGACCTCAAATAAAAAAGACCATAAGAGAAACAAGAGTTTTACAGACTGCAGTAAAGGGAGACCTAATTATTTAGCTGCTTACTGTGGTGACCGTGATGTGGAAAGTCCACGGGCCTGGCTTAGGCTGTCCCTGCTGCAATGACAAAGTACTAGGCAGCGCAATTTGAAAATAACTGGAGTTTATTTTTCATAGTTCTAATGGTGGAGAAGCCCAAGACTGGCATTAGCAGGTTGTATCTGGTGAAGGCCTGGCCGTGCTCCCAAAGATCACCTTGAATGCTGTGCCCGTAGGTGGCTGGAGGGAAGGGAGGGGCAGACAGCAACCCCACACCTCTTGTATAAGGTCACTAACTGAACCACTTCCTAGGGGCCCCCATTGGTAACACCACACTGGCAGTTAAATTACAGTGAGTGAATTTTGGTGGAACACATGCAGACCGTGAAAGGGCAGTACAAACTATTAGAATTAAAAATGCAAACTTAGAATTTCAAATTATTAAAGTGTCTAGATACAAAGTAAATACAGGAAAGTAAATTTGTTTCTATAGATGAGCAGTGAACAACTATAAAATGAAAAATTTAAAAATAAAGCACCAGAAAAATTAAATGCCTAGGATAAATCTAATGAAAGGTAAAAAGTATTGCTGGAAAAGATTAAAGGAGACCTAAATAAATGGAAAGAGATACCGCTTCCATGATTAGAACACAGCATACGTAAGTTTTTCCACAGTCGTATAGATTTGTGATGGGCCACTGCGGTGCTCGACTGGATTCATTAAGAGGTGGAGGTGGGGCCTAGTGATCCGTCCCAGAGTCTTCAAGGATGCAAACATCCAAATCGGAGACTAACGGAAAAAGTACAGAGGTGAGAACAGAGGTAAGGAAGCTGAGACTGAAGAAATAATAAAAGAGATCAATAAATCAAAGTATTGGTTCTTTGAAAGTACGGTACCGAGGGATGGGGAGATGGGGGCAGAGGGATAGAGAGGAGCAAGGTGTCACTGGGTGCCACTTCCCCCGAGGTGAATGTGTTTACTGTGTGCTGTAAAAATGAACTAATTAAAAGTTTTGAGGAAAAAAAAGGAATTTCAATGACTTGGAATCTCAGTCTGGAAGAGGGAAAAATTGGAGGCCTCCTACGACATGGACCAGCTCTGGCCGCAGTGCTGCGGCAGAGGGGGCAGTGGGACTGAAGGACAGGCAGGCCAAGGGAACAGAGAGTCCCAGGACAGACCTGTGTGCCTGGATCTGACCCGGGCTCCAGGAGGGGGAGGGTGTCACAGGTCAGCTGGAAAGGGGTGGGCTCCGAGAACAGCGTGGGGAGAGCTGGGGGTCGGCAGGGAAGAAAGGAAAGAACACGAGGGTGCTGGCCCTGTGGCGTGCGGTCCTCAGAACCTAACTCACAGTGGGCCCCGGACCTTGACGAAGCAAGCAGGGAAGTTACTAGAAGAGAACAGAAGATCACGTCTGTGGTCTTGGGTAGGCAGATGTGTCCCAGCAGGATGCAGATGTGCTGTTCATGTAAGTACACTATCTGTAATCAGGCACCAGTCATCATCCAGAAGGGTTTTACCTGGAGCTTGAAGAATTTCTGCCCACCAAAGGGCACCAGTGAAAGAGAAAAAGGAAACTGCAGACGGGGAGAAGATGTGTGCCAGGAAGAAATTGTGCTCAGGTTATAACAATAACCATAAAATTATTATTATTATTATGTTGTCTTTTTTGAGATGGGGTCTTGCTATGCAGTTCAGGCTGGCCTTGAGCTCACTTTGTAGCCCAGGCTGGTCTTGAACTTGCAACAATCCTCCCACCTCAGCCTCCCGAGTGCTGGGATTACAGGCGTGAGCCACCATGCCTGGCAATAACCATAAAATTATAAGGAAAATAATCCAGCTGAAAAATGGGCAAAAAAGGAGGATACTTTAAATGACTAACAAACCTATGGAAGTTTTCCCAAGCTCACTGATTATCAGGGAAATGCAAATTAAAATTATAATGTTATAATTTATATCCAGTATAATGGCTATTATTTTTTTAAATACCAAAAATTGAGGAGCAGCAGGAACCTTCCCCCCCTACACTGTTTGCTACCAGGATTATTGAGTGGTTAGATTTTCCACTTTGGAAAATGGTTTGGTGGTTTCTTAAAATGTTAAACATGAAATTTCCCAATGACTCAGCAGTTCCACTCGTAGGCACCCACCAAAGACAAGCAAAAACATAAGTCTGTGTCAGGCTTGTGCGTGACAGTCCATAGCAGCATCCGTTATAACCAAGACGTGGGGACACCCTGAGTCTGTCAGACTGGGATCCCTGCAGTGTGTGGGGCTGTACAGTGGGGCGTTATTCAGTGATAAAAAGGAGAATATTGGCACCCGCAGCAGTAGAGGCGTGGGAACAGTGTGCCGGGTGGTAGACATGGAGGGTTGCCCACTGCAGAGGCTATTT